CCGGCGGCATGCCTGGTAGAAGAGCTACCTCCTTCTGGAGCTCCGACCGGGGTCCTAAGATTGAGGAGGTTGATTAAGCAATTGAAATCCTCGTCTAGCGTGGCTTGCATCAGCATAAAGCATTTAGGTTATATCTTCTAGTTTGAAAGTAGTTAAGTAGTTGATAGAGAACCGGTTGGAGGGAAAATGGTTGCTCGACGTAAACTTAGACATCATCCTGGATGAAGTTAAAAAGTCAAGAAAGAAAACGACTTTTATAGCGTGTTTATTATTTGAAGTTTACTGTCCTTACTTACAACTTGCTTTGAACGTACTTTCAATACTTGCAAGATGCCTCAATGTGCTGGTCCAGCCAGCAGTTCGCATGCTGCCCAAACATCACATATAAGGCGCTTAACTTCAGTCTATTGACTGTACGTGTGAGAGACAAAATAAGAGCAGCTCAAAATGAAAAGAAAACGCCACGAAGATGTATTGAGTAGATTTCACTCTCTAGACATCAACCTCTGTAACTAAAATCTATGAGGCAACTATCTGGCGTCGATACTCGAGAATCATCTTGGAGTCGTCTTTCCAGCGAGTGCGCCGAATAAACTCGAGCGAATACTCTGGACCTACAACTGTACCGTTGCATAAAATCTCGATCTCCTCAGGCTTCAAGATATTCAGCTTCTTAGCCAGGTACTTGCGCAGATACATGACCCTAGACAACAATGAAAACAATCCGTTCAAAATTTCATACAGTAGCCCCGAGTCAGCTCAGCCTTCCTTACCTTGAAAAATGACTGCGTGTTCATACACGGAGCCTTGAGTTCGCCGAGGAGGAGAAATAGAGGGACATCCGGACTGCACAAATTCCATACAACAACAAAGCTTGAGACCCCAGCGCTAGCACGTATTCCCTTGTCGATTCAAAACCTCACCTGCGCTGTGGATGCAGCTCAAACTGAATCATATGTCCCGGAGATGACGGGCCAAGCGCACGACCGAGCTTTGAAGCACTCTGGCGATTCTTACATGGAGTATCAGGTTGTTTGCGCTTGATACCAAACTTTGCGTAGAACAATCGCTCTGTAGGCAAACAAGCAAGTCTTAGACGCTTGGCAAACCCAAAAGCTGACGAAAATAGGACTTAATCGTAACAGTACCTTCCCTTTCTTCAGCTGCACGGTAATCTGGCAAATACTTTTCAGAGAGCTCTTTCATTGCTGGATCAGGACTACATTATCGAAACGCATGATCAATAGTAGGACTGAATGTAAATCAACTCAACAACCACATTTTTACATATTACGTACATGAATTGGGTCCATGGTTTGGCACCCAGATCCACGTCACACGTTGGACAAGTACACGATGGTGTGTGCAAATAGAACCCTCGTATACAGCCATGACAGACTATACCAATGCAAAACCGCATCTTAATCTGCTATTTTCTAACTAACTTGAGTTTTCAGTAATTCTCATAACATACAGGTGTGCAGACACTCTTTTGCAGTATACGGGTCTCGATAATAGCCTTTGCATAGTTTGCAGATGAAGAATTCGTTGATATCAGTCATATACAAGGTTTCCTACCCATTAAAAAGAGCCACAAATAAGACGCTACACCTCAGCAAATAGATTATATCGTATATAAAGACGTTTGCAGAACACTATGAAGATATTACGACATACCGTGCGTGCCTCTACAAACAAATGATTGCAGGAAGCATTAGACAGCGATGGAGTGAGCGCCGTACTCGACGAGGGACTTGTAGCAGCCATGAGATAATGCGATCGTAGCGACTAGAAATACCACCAATAGCGTGTATTGAAACTATATTAGTGCATTCAAAGCCTACGAAACAGCATGAGCTTTGACAGTGGATTTTAGGCGTGAGTGTGTTGCGGCCGTCGTCGTCGCTTACAAAAAAGCACGAAACCAATCACACATGCAACCGGAATTGCCATAAAGAACACGACAAGCACGAAAAAAGTGCTGGAGAGAAACGATGTGTGATGATGAATCGACGCTTCCTTGTCACCTCTTACTTTGGTCTCTGAACCCTTTGATTCCGTCGGTTTCAGCTGCCACGACGCGTTTCGAAGAAATTGACTCTCAGCTTTTTGGCTCCGCTGTTGGTTGCGTTGGAGGCAGCAAAATTTCTTCACGCTCACAATTGCATCTACTTTGATTCGACAGTCCTTCAAGCTGCTCAAGGGCGTAATGTCGTCTAGCTTGTAACTCCTGCACCTCAATATTCAGTTGAGTAGTAAGAGTTTCGAGATATCTGCGCATCATAGCCAAATGCCGGATATGGCAGTGGTGTACTGTAGTCATTTCTTGACTCAAAAAATATGTAATGGGGTTGGTTTGGCCATTTTGTCGTACATGCCTCGACTGGTATCCATGATAGATGGTAAAAGTGTCCTTGGGCCTGACCTCTACTGAAGGTTAAAGCAATCCAAAGGAAGTTAATGCACCGCATGAAGGACTGCTGCTTTCGTGACGCAATGATGAATGAGATTGGTGTTCTCTGGTATTGTGAGATTGAAGTTCTCTGGCGTTATGAGATTGAAGTTCTCTGGCGTCATGAGATTGAAGTTCTCTGGCGTCATGAGATTGAAGTTCCCTAGTGTTGTGAGATTGACTACCCATCCAAGTGATCATTCTCAACCAAGGCAGCTTCAATCTATCGCAAAAAATTGATGCAAGCTTTAAACCTTTTTGTACCGAGCGGGTACCTAAGTTAGCGTTATATAGATGCACCGCGAGTTACGAGGCTTATTCATCAATGCCCTTGTATTACGTTCTAATGGGGCTTCTATGTCATAACGTATTAGCTCTTTATCTGATTACATTAGCTTTTCTATCAGCGGCAATTACTGACTTTTGTCGTTATTTACCAAACGCGCCACCATCATTACTTCGTTAACGTCAAAACGTTTTATGACTAAATTTTTGAAAAGCACAAGATGGCGTTCTAACAGGAGCAAGAAATTAGGTCAGAAAACATAGTGAAGCCAAACCGTTAAGGCAGTAACGCGTTTGTGACAACGAAATGGGTGCAATGTATCAAGTAAATGCCAGCCACGAAGTGCTGCAGTTAAAGTATTTGTTTATTAGGAAGGGGTAAAGCTGCTAGTCATAGTCAACATAATATGACCAATGCGTTAATGCGAGGTGCTCTCATTTACTTGCATGCAACAATCGAGATCCGCACTGTGTATATGTACTAATAACCTCACCTTCGTATTTTATTCGCATCTTCGTTTCGTACAAATAGATGCCCCTGGACATGCATTTTGTTGCGCAAAATATCTCAAAGGGACAGCAGCATGTGACCAATCAGTCCTTATTGTACAAGAATTCTTTTTGACTGATATGCGCGCTCCACACATTCTATATGACTGTCCGCATAACGCGACCAATAGCATCATGGCGATACTTGTATCCTTGGCACAACTTCTGCGGGATCCTTCCTATAACAGTTGCAGCATCTCGCTAGCAAAAGCTCGCGTGTCACTTCCAATACAGTCGATCCATGGCGTAGTTTTCGAAGGCATACCGTCAGCTTTAATAGAGGTACGACGCACAACTCATGTCTGTATGATGGGGTTACAGGAAGGTATGTATTATATATACACAACTGCTACACCATTTTGGTGTTTCTGTACTTTGGGTAAATTGACCTTTACCGTGTAACGGGATTACACAAGTTGTATATGTGCCACACTAAAATGATGTGGCTGTATTTTGGGTACAATATGCTCACAACCCCTTCGGTGTGAGCTGTAGCTAAGGTACAACGGGTTCATATCTCGGCAGGGAGCCACGTGGCCGTAGTAATGGGCTAAGTACATTGGATATATACGTATGTATAGAAGGATGGCTCCAGAGTCAGCTAAAAATAGTGACTAGCTCAGTATAGAATAGTTTTTTTTCGTTTTCTGTACTAGTGCTAGAAGATAAAAATTTGATCATCAGCGTGGAACCTGCTCTGTTAAGCAATTGTTGCTAGGTGATCATATTCCTTGGGAAGGAATAAGTATCTGTGATACTGATCTCGTAGAGACGTTGGTTTTGTACAGCCAAGAATGCATAAGCTTGTAAAACTAGCCTTGAAAACGGTTAAGAACCCCAAGGCGTAGAGATCGTAAAGCTTGTATTTCTCTGCACTTCGTGCATGTAGTATCTGGTAGCTCGGCTACATCTTTTCGAGGCTCCGAAAGAGATGAAGATGCGCGTCGGAGCCTCCAAAGAGATGCGCGTCGACAAATTTACAAGGTGAAGACAACGCAGGAATAGCAAAGCAAAGCATATTGCTGATAGATATAAGCTCATTGAGATTCCATCAATAATGAGGTGAAAAAAGCGGTTTAAGATGAGAAGTTGCGACTGACAAAGCAAGCTGGTATTTTACCAATGCGCTTGCCCCACGCTTAGGAAAGCTGAAAAAGCTTTTTTATGGTTTACAGATACCTCATGAGGGGTTCTAATAGGCGCTAAACTTGCTGAAAGGTCGAGACCTGCAAAGCAAAATAGTGACTCTTTGGAGACCTCAAGGTGCAGTAAGCAATATGATAGGCGATACATTATTGATTCCACTCAGTTCTAAATTTATCAGATACTAATCTAGCTAAGAACTACACACTAATTGTTGCCGTTCAGTTCTCAGCTTGGGACCTGATCATTCATCACCGAATGCTTTGCACACATCTGACAAAGACCTATGCTATAGTTGCATAGAAGTCCACTCAGCCGTCGCTGCTAGCGATACGAATGACCGGCTGAGATAAAAACGCACGGCAGTATATGACAATGACTAAGACTTTTTCTAGCAGCTAAATATCATATGGGTATTATATTACTGGAGTGGTGCTATCTGACGGTGATTACCGACAATACATCTGGTCACGAGACGGTGACCGAGGGATCAGGGTCTTTTCGAGGTTGGCCCTGATCCCTCGTTGTAGACCCTGGTCCCTCGGTCAGTGGACCCTCGACCCTCGGCCCCTCGGTCACTCGGCCCCTCGGCAAGCAGAATCAAGAATCAGGCCTCGGGGGGTAACGATAGCGTAAAGAAGTTAAAAGATAGGACCATATCAAATACTACGTACCTTGAAAGCACGATGGAGGCGTGCTTTCAAGGTCATTACTAATTCTACCCACCTGTTTCGGGAAGGGATACATTTTGGTCCCCCGTCGAAGACAGTGTGTGGTAAGAACCAAGTGCGAATAGAGACCCAGGATATATTTGGCCTGTGGGTTCGTCTGAGTAGCACCCCCAACTCAACCCGCTATCGGAAGCGGTATCCCTACCCTAGTGGATTGGGAGCAAGTAAAGGCCAGGCGGTTAACACCCCTGAGATATCAAGGAAGGAAAAGGCCAGGGTTGAGAATATCCCCTGAAAAATTTGGTTATAAGTCCACCCTCGACCTAGTCGACCGAGTGGCTACCTCCCGCCTGCCGAGTGAAGTATACCCACTCGAGGCACCCCAAGGTCGACCTCTCTCAAGACCGACATCACATCTCAACCAAGTCCTCCGAAGAGTGCAACCCTCCAGCCGACGGGTACACAAAGTGAGAGAAGGTCTATCAAAACGCAGCATCGGGGTACCCCTTCCAATAGTCGGCAGTCCGGGACAGTGAGTGGCTTGGGGTCTCATTACGCAGTTTTGAGAACCCACTCCACCACACTTGCATCCCTGCTTATAAAGCAGTTGCGCTGCTTCATCATGGATGAAGCGATGTATCGTGACATCTTTGGAAATGATGACATTGACATTGACTCTAGGGCCAGCGGCGCCCAAGTCTCCGTCAAGACATATTACCCACAACCACCATGCTCACCGAAAGAGGGACGGTAATCGCATTCTGTCTCCTCTTCCTCGAGGTTAATACTTCTTTGCGCCAAGCACCACCGCTTCTCTCTCGTAAGGGCGCGAGGAGCGATGATTTAGATGGTACTGGCATCTTGAGACGTCGATACTCAGGATTATTCGTCAACGGTGGGATGTATCACCCCGTTAGCCTCCCTGTGTTCCTCCTAGACGGACGGTGATGCACATACGCAGTATCTTCGACACTTGGCCATAATCCATGTGCCCAAATTTATTGAGTAGGTCTGGCCCATGCCGAAATTGTTTTTGCCAAATAAGTGCACTGGTACATTGACCATCGCGAGCACAACAAAATATCCAGGAGCTTCAAGCAAACCTGGTAAAAGCGGTGCACCTCGTGCAATATAATAAAACTTTGGCCACGATTTGGACGTCTAGAGATGTACCACATCTACATCTATCAATTAGGCACGGTGCCGCTGCATCTCCACCTTCTACGCAGGCAAAGATCAGTATGAGATCGACTCGTACTTCCGAGTTTGCAAGCTGTCAGGGCGGATTATGCCGTCTCTATCAGGAGTTTGTAAAGATTCTGGACGCTAAGGTGATCCAGATATAGGAGATGTTCGTCCTCAAAACGCCAAAGCGGTGAGCCTGCTGACTACGGGTACGCTGAAATGCTGGTACGCAACGTTTCCCTTGACAACAGCTCTCCACAGATTCGGTGGAAAGTTTATGCATACTGGACTTGCATCGTGCGCGTTTCGACAGCATTATGACCGACTTACTGGATTGAGACAGACTTGTTGGAATGAAGCGAGAAAAAGCAGGAAACAAAGTAATCAGGTTGTTTTTATGATTGTAAATGACTGTTGGATACTATAATTATAATGGGATAATCGTATGAATGAAGGTGCATTTATTACCTCTGTAGTCTCAAGCATGAGTATGTAGATGGTTTTGGCCACCGTGCGCAGCTCCCCCTCGAGGAACCGCGGTCCATCGGACTAACCGCGGCTAACTCCTCTGAATGCAGCACGCCTAATCGTACAATCTCATCATCCAACGGTCGTCTCCCGTCCCTTTTTGGCGCTCCGTCTTGCTGTCCCTTACCTAACGGTCGCTCCTCCTTGGCGGGTCCCCTTCTCTTTGACCCGTCGATCCTCGGACCTACCAATTCTTGAAACGCTTCACCACACAAGCGCATAACGCTTTGTCAATTAAAGCGCAAAGACCATAGGTGCTCAACGAGAAAGTATTCAGAGCACTGAGATGATTTTTAAGCAAGTGCTAGGGACCTAACGCTTAATCAGCAAGTGTCGTACGACTAATATGTAGCGCAAGTGCAATGCACTGCATGCTCAAGGAGTAATTTCGTAACACTAGGGTGCTTGAATAGCGTGAGTGAAATGCACTAGACGCTTAATGAGCAAGTTCGTAACACAGAAGGAGATATGGACGCAAGCGGAGCACTTAATACCGAGAAATCAAAGTGGAAAAGAAAGGAAATCGACAGAACTCCACATTAAGTCCGAAAATCGTGGCTACGCCGGGTCCTACGGATTGGTGGGGAGGGTGTAATGGGGTTACACAAAGGTGTGTAATCTACATACACAATTGTGGTGTGACTGTACTTTGGGTACACTGGTGGCCTATCGCAGAAACAACGAGGAGGGTTGCAAAGCTGCTTCCTATTCTTGGCCCGAAGGGCACGGAATACCTCACCGATCAAAGAGAAGAAGAGGTCAAAAAAACGTATTCATATGCGTGACGAGTGCAATAATGCTTTTATAAAGTATGTAAAGGCACAAATGCCATCATCTGCGTTGTCGCATAGAGGCTATGGCGCAGGAAGTGGTAAGTTCGACGGCAAAAATGGCAATAACCTTATGCTGTGGTTTCGACAGCTTGAGTCGGCTAATGGTATATCTGAGAGCAACAACGAACCATACCACGTTTGGCTTTGCCAAACAATGGGCATTCACATGCGGTGCACCACTGCAAGATGCTTTTCCAACATATTCCGATCTGACATTTCAGATGACACGGCAGTATGCGCCGCCCAATCAAGCGCACCAAGATCGGTCGCGATTTTGGGACCTGTTCATTCATCATCGAATGCTTCGCACACGTCTGACAAAGACCCATGGTATAGTTGCATAGAAGTCCTCACAGCCGTCTCTGTTAGCGATACGAATGACCGGCTGGGATAAGAACAACGCACGGCAGAGCTGCCTAGACAGTGCGCAGTATTGCTTGGTCATGTACTGATACTGCACTGCGGTTTGCAAGGTAACGTTTTTAATGCGCGGTGTATTCAAGATGAAACGGTAAAAGCACCCTACCAGTCGATACAAACATAACATGCCTTGGGCCCGGAAGTACCCTATGCTGCTGACAACGGTACCGAGACAAAGAGGTGAACCAATATTTCGCGACTTTTATTCGCTGGAGCTTAATCTGGATTGAAAGATGTTCACGTCCGGATATCAGCTTTGCAGTGCTCATGGCAACGCGGCGCACTCAATTACCTACTATGAGTGACTGGAAGCTGACAAAAAGAGTCGCCAGATACCACGAAGCTTAAGCTCAAGACAATTGTTCCAAGAAATGAAGGAAACAAGGTCAATTTGGCGAGCTGGAGCGACTCGGACTATGCCGGACAGTATGTCTTTTACAGGCAGGGTTTTAGCTATTGTGCAATGGGTGTGCAAAAAGGAAACAGGGGTGCCGCTTTTGACAATGGAGGCTAAGTTTGCATCGGCCTTGCACGTTGGGCGAGACTTGCTAGTACTGAGAGAGTTGATGCGTGAGATTGGGTTTCAAGTGGAGTCCCCAATGTCAATGCTCATGGACAACCAGGCTACTATTAGACAGCTGGAAACAGAATGTATCCAACCTTGATGTGCGCCTAAAGTTTATGCGCGATTATGCAAGAAAGGACATCGTGAAACCGAAGTCTATGGAATCGCGCCTTATGAAGGCGACTTACTGACAAAAGTGTTGCCGGCGCAAAGGGTTGCAGAACTATGAAAGCTATTCAATCTGCTGTAGCCATGGAGTGTTGGCGAGCGTGCAACGAGTATTGGAAGAAGTGCAAGATGTTGAGAGTGTGTTGAAGTTCGGTCGACCACTCTCGGCAAATGGGTGCAGCCACGATCAGTTAATAAACTGGTTGGATGATGAGAAGCGTTAGAAACATTCTTTGTAGGACGTTAAAACAATATCACTTCTTCTTTTCACAATATCTTCTCGACTTATTATCGTGAATTGTACTTCTTTAATGGTAGCATCGCAATTTGTAGGAAGGAACAGACGACCCATGTCTACCGATATAATAATTACTTTTAAATGTGTAGCACAGTCTGAAAAGTTAAAAGTAATGATGTGGCTTAATCTAAACAGTTTTATGATTTAGAACCATTGTCAAACTCGATAACTACCAAGAACGACTCTCCTGAACGATGCCTATATGTGCTACACCCAGTGTGTGACGTGGTGTCATTTTGAATCACTTACCTTAACTTGCGCAAAGCCTTGGTCAGACAGTCGGCAAGCTGACAATCCATCACAATATACACGAGCTTCACCCGTGTAGCCTCAAGATGGTCGCGCACATAAAGTGCTGTACTTGATAAGGCGCTTTAGTTCAATGTGCTTGACTCGTGGCATGTAGTTTAAAGTGAAAGCCATCGCAATTACAAAATGAGTGTCCATGATTTCACAGCGCCATTCGTTCACAGCTATTTATCAATATTAACTCTTGACATCGAGAGATAGACCCCCTCCTTGTCTTATATACATACACATCAACATTTCGTCACGAGGTACGCGTTAAAGTTGCTCTTGCTGCTGCGGAACAAGGGGCCGTGAGAATTTCACACCAACATTCAAACTCGGCAACATGGGTCGGTTGCCATTGATGGAGGAGGTACTTCCACCAATCGAGGAGGAAAGTAACGAAATATGTAATGGCAATGCAGGCGCAACTGCTGCCGTTGCGGAGCCAACCGCAGCATGAGCTGAAAATGCTCGCTGCATACTTGCTGATGATGAGCACAGGGACTCGGTATCGTAGCCTGGATGTTCCAGGTAATGGTGATTAACCACTGGGCTTGACGACTTTGTAAGCGCTGGTGACGGCCAGTCCACGATAATATGCCAGACCGACTTTTCGTTGCGTGACTGAAAGCGTGCCATTAACTTGCGCGCATTTGCCACCGAGATGTCTGGTAGTTTGCGCAACGCAGTAGCCTCCACTAGGTTCATGAGCTCATTAAATGTCATCAGCACGCCCAACTCCGCGCGGGCCACCACCACGCGCATGATTCCAGCCTCATCGCTTTGGTGAAAATAACCACTGGTGTCCTTGGATGACTGTCCTCCCTGCGCACGCTTCTTCACGCGACGATGAAGAGCTGCAAAGTGCACGCCGTAAATCTTGGCAGCGGCGCGTAGACTCATCCCCTGCTGCTCTACACTCGCGATTGCTTTTTCCCACGTCTCAGGCGACACTGTGTGGCTCAACTTGTAGCCTCGTTTCGCGCTAAACGTTGGCTCGCGAGTGCCGGGTGCGGCATAGCTATACATCTTGTTGTCCGAGCTTGCAGTGGAAGGAGCCGTAGTGACACTTGAGCTACTGCTAGCTCCCGTCGTCGTGCCATTCTCACTGTCACCGCTGCCACAGCTGCCACTGCTGGCACTGATGCCGAGTTCATTTCTGCCCCATGTTTGATCGCACTGGGTCCATGCGCTTTGTGCACGGTGGTTGTCTATAACGAGGGACCGGCGTTGCTTTTGCTGCTGACGAGTGTGCTCCATCTGCGATTCACTTTCGTACGTTGATCGCATGTTGAACCGCATCAGCGTATCGGAATTGCGTGCTGTGTCGTAGCATCTCAAGGACTGTTCGTTCCCACCTCTCTCGTCGTCGTCACTACTGTCTCCACTGACCGGACTAGTGGATGTTGCACGTGTGATGCTGCTGCTGCGACTACTCGTGCTGAGGCACCCAGGCAGTCCGACCGCGAAGATGCCGCCAGCGTGCGCGAAGCCGTGCACACGCTTGAACTCGTGGATCCAACACATGGGCGGAAAGTCGAGTGGCAAGCTGGTGGTGCTTCTACGGTTGGCAACTGCACGCACAACGGAGCGCACGTCGTTTGAGGTGATACACTTCTGGTCATGCCAAAACTGGTCACGCAGAACATCAAGCGCCTCCTGCTCGTCCGTCTTGGTCAGATAGTGGCGCACTTCAGTACATGACGTCTCAATCGGGACGTTGTCGTTTTGTGTCCATCGTTAGCAAGGATAAGGACATACGGTCGGTCCGTGTGGGACGTCCGGTCGGATGCATGTAGATTTGGAAAATGAGTCTTTTAAAATGAAAGGTCGGCTGGTTATTACAGTAACGTTTATGGCTTGGTTCGACGAGCTACTTCCAAATGTAATTTCCTGCCAAATCTGAGATGATAACTGCATTTTCGTTAGTATATTTTTCAACTTTCTCGTCAAAGCTAGTAAACAATTGGGTCAAAAGAAAAGGGCAAAAGAAGCTCGTCGAACCAAGCCGTAAACGTTACTGTAATAACCAGCCGACCTCTCATTTTAAAAGACTCATTTTCCAAATCTACATGCATCCGACCGGACGTCCCACAGAGACGTCCCACACGGACCGACCATCCCACACGGACCGACCGTATGTCCTTATACTTGCTAACGATGGACACAAAACGACAACGTCACTTTAATAGCTCGATTGAGACGTCATGTACTGAAGTGCGCCACTATCTGACCAAGACGGACGAGCAGGAGGCGCTTGATGTTCTGCGTGACCAGTTTTGGCATGACCAGAAGTGTATCACCTCAAACGACGTGCGCTCCGTTGTGCGTGCAGTTGCCAACCGTAGAAGCACCACCAGCTTGTCACTCGACTTTCCGCCCATGTGTTGGATCCACGAGTTCAAGCGCGTGCACGGCTTCGCGCACGCTGGCGGCATCTTCGCGGTCGGACTGCCTGGGTGCCTCAGCACGAGTAGTCGCAGCAGCAGCATCACACGTGCAACATCCACTAGTCCGGTCAGCGGAGACAGTAGTGACGACGACGAGAGAGGTGGGAACGAACAGTCCTTGAGATGCTACGACACAGCACGCAATTCCGATACGCTGATGCGGTTCAACATGCGATCAACGTACGAAAGTGACTCGCAGATGGAGCACACTCGTCAGCAGCAAAAGCAACGCCGGTCCCTCGTTATAGACAACCACCGTGCACAAAGCGCATGGACCCAGTGCGATCAAACATGGGGCAGAAATGAACTCGGCATCAGTGCCAGCAGTGGCAGCTGTGGCAGCGGTGACAGTGAGAATGGCACGACGACGGGAGCTAGCAGTAGCTCAAGTGTCACTACGGCTCCTTCCACTGCAAGCTCGGACAACAAGGTGTATAGCTGTGCCGCACCCGGCACTCGCGAGCCAACGTTTAGCGCGAAACGAGGCTACAAGTTGAGCCACACAGTGTCGCCTGAGACGTGGGAAAAAGCAATCGCGAGTGTAGAGCAGCAGGGGATGAGTCTACGCCGCCGCTGCCAAGATTTACGGCGTGCACTTTGCAGCTCTTCATCGTCGCGTGAAGAAGCGTGCGCAGGGAGGACAGTCATCCAAGGACACCAGTGGTTATTTTCACCAAAGCGATGAGGCTGGAATCATGCGCGTGGTGGTGGCCCGCGCGGAGTTGGGCGTGCTGATGACATTTAATGAGCTCATGAACCTAGTGGAGGCTACTGCGTTGCGCAAACTACCAGACATCTCGGTGGCAAATGCGCGCAAGTTAATGGCACGCTTTCAGTCACGCAACGAAAAGTCGGTCTGGCATATTATCGTGGACTGGCCGTCACCAGCGCTTACAAAGTCGTCAAGCCCAGTGGTTAATCACCATTACCTGGAACATCCAGGCTACGATACCGAGTCCCTGTGCTCATCATCAGCAAGTATGCAGCGAGCATTTTCAGCTCATGCTGCGGTTGGCTCCGCAACGGCAGCAGTTGCGCCTGCATTGCCATTACATATTTCGTTACTTTCCTCCTCGATTGGTGGAAGTACCTCCTCCATCAATGGCAACCGACCCATGTTGCCGAGTTTGAATGTTGGTGTGAAATTCTCACGGCCCCTTGTTCCGCAGCAGCAAGAGCAACTTTAACGCGTACCTCGTGACGAAATGTTGATGTGTATGTATATAAGACAAGGAGGGGGTCTATCTCTCGATGTCAAGAGTTAATATTGATAAATAGCTGTGAAGAATATCCATGCAAATCTTGTATACTATCGTCTTGGGTATAGTATGCATGTTTATTTTAATGGCGAGAAGCAGCTTGGCACTCTGTTTTGTCAAGTTCTTAGGGCCGACTTCTCGTCTACTTGTGCGACATTCCAACGTGTTGTTTCGTCGGAGTTCCACAAATCAGGACATTTCTATATTTTGTTTTTCTGTGAGCATAAATATAGTTTTATAAATATTATTATAATACATGTTTTTGTGCTTTTTAAATAACAAATAAATAATTTACAAAGGTAATTTTTATCTGTTTTCTTCTGCAAAAATAATTTGATATGTTTATAAATTAATTTCTTGTCGGGTTCATTTGCAAATTTTTTATCTGTTTCTATTAGAGCAAAAGTACAAAGGAAAACACGGTAAATAAATCTTTATTAATAAATTAGACACCATTATATAGCTATAAGTGTCCATTAACCTCTAAAATAAAAAAAAACTCGATTTGTCATTGGTATGTTTAGTCATCATGTTTTTTAACAACGAGGCATTTTTTAATAATATAACGTTTCATTTAACAAAAAATGTTTATAACGACTTGAATTTGATATACCCACTTCTGTCAGACAGACGTCACGAGGAGATCAACGCGACTGATCAATTGCGAACTACCAACTCGATCCACCTCTTCAATCTTTTGACTCTGCTCTCTCCCTTTCCATTGCACTAATGGTAGATCAACCAAAAGAAATGACGCATAGAATCGTTACATTATAGACAAAAAAGCAAGTTCATTTATAGCATGCAACTAAAAAGCACCAATAGCTACCGCGTTAACATCTTTCGGACTCGTTAAGTTGTTGTGAGCACTACTTTTTTCTTCGAATGTGCAGATTGGTCTAGGAATTTCTGGTATTGTACCCGAATTGAATTAGTGTTAGCGCCCTTGATCTTGTCGGGCGTGTAGTGAATAACCTCCCAGCGGCTAAATTGTGCCGTTCGTACCTTTGTGAAGAGTTCTTTCTTATTCGAGTGCTCAATCGCATGATAAGGTGCGCCAGAAGAGTACTCTCGTCATTAAAATGTTTGGACAACGTCCTGTAGATTCCAGTGGGTCTTATACTGCAGATAGCGAGCCATTTCAAAAATCAGCGTCTTCAAATAGTTTATTTACGGGAATCTTGTCCAGCCCCAGACGACGAAACGAGGCGGTCGTGCTTTAACCACCCCCATTCGAAGCCAAAGCCATCCGAATTCAATTTTCTCACCAATCGTCGACATGATTGATTTCAGTTTGGGACCAATACCCGCGGGTGAATGGAACCGACTCGTTCTTCAAAGGTGTCGGGATCGTCGTCCCTCGGTGTTGTGTCCACGTCAGGATCTTCAAATTTCTGGCTTCATGGAGACGCTAATATGAAAACTACAGTAGTCAAAGCGCGTGACGTGTACTCCATGACTTTTCCTCAGATATCGTCTCTGTGGTAGCTTTGCTCAAAAGTTGAGCATATATTATCATGCCATAGTAATCAACACACTTGCATATATAAACCGAACTGCGCTCTATCTCGGCAGGCATCGCGCTATAACCTGAACACGGGTGATTTAGGCAGGAGAAAATCAAAGAATCGAGGTGACGAGACCTGAAGTGGCACCGGATCAGGTGGGTGATTAGATTGGATCATAGAAACAATCTAAACGTCTTCCCGAACAAGCCAGAGGATTCATATATAAAATCTGCTAAAAACAGTATAAAGACGCCAAGAACCTTGTGCTGATGCACAGATTTACTGTGGCACGCAACGAGAAAGTATACGCTGTCTATTGAGGACTGTATATTACGCAGACGAACAAGTATCTGGCATCAAGTTTATGCTTAATACATGACGGTATTCAAGTGCTAAAGATGCTATGACGGCAATCCATTGTCGTATTATTGAGGAATGGTTTTCGCTATCATATAGTGTTAATGACAGGCTGTTACCAGGATTTCAAGTTCTTACAATATGAAACCTATATAATGCCTGCAATCCACAATTGTCATATAATCAACCTACTACATATATTTTTACGCACTTGTGTCAATCATATATACCACAGCACCACGTGATCAACGCACATAACCGACCGATCACTTGCCAAGCAAATTTCACAATTTCACAAAC